ATGAAGATAACAAAGGAGACACTCAGCTCATTGCAACAAGTTAAGGACGTGGGCTGCATTCCTCATTTTCGGGGGTCACATTTGTGGGACACGGCCCATTGGCAATCGCAACAAGTTCTGTAGCAGTGAGCGCGGGCAAGCAACGAGGACAAATGTTTTGTAGGACTGACCATATTGTTTCATCCACTGCAGTGCAGTTGCCTCTCCTAGTCTAACATACTCATCCAGATTATCTCCTGGAGATCCATATGCAAAGTACCGTAAGGATGCGATTACCCTCTCGAAGGGCGAGGCACCAGACTTGCAATCTGGTTTTAGCCCCCGGAGCAAGACCTGGTCGTGCATCACACCGTTGGCAAAATTGCGATCAAATAGATGGCGCGAAATACGGAAACGCCGATCTACTGTTCCGGGTAGTATACACGTCCCTCTTGCACAGACCTGTCGGGTCTCAAATCCGCGGCAGGCCAGAAGTTGTCTAGCATTAGACGCCAATGAGCGACGCGAACGTCACGCGAGACGTTCGAGCTACGGCCGGGACGAGAGCCGCCAGCTTGCTGCGCTGTGACTTGAAGTTGTAACGCCGCCATAGTTTGCATTGGATACCACACGACAGCCGCAAGTTCGGTTTCCTCCGAATAGTCATCTTGGAGCATGTGGTGCAGTGTGCTCTTCGTAGGCATAGTCACTAGTAGCAATCGGCTTGCTGGTAGTAGTGGCTGGTCTCGCTAAGATGGAGAGTGAGTGCGAGGTGGGTGTGGGAGAACGGGTACCGACCGGTGTCGGTAAAAGTAACGACCCGGAGGGAGATCCCGTAGCGGTGATCAGACGATACTTGAAAGGCAGGGGATAACTCAGCTTGTACACGGGGTGCACGTAACGCCACGGGTGACAGATGGCGACGGAATGGCCACGTGTACCGCCGTACGTATTACGTCCCGATAGGGTACAGTAGACTAGAAGGTCCTACTGCAGGGGCGTAGAAAATAGTGTAATCGGAGTGTCAGCTGGGGGAGTCCCAGCCAGCACACGTGGTGCGCGCTCTGCCACGAGTACATGTGGCAGGAGCACAGCCACGTGTGCCGCTGTGCGAATTACTCTCCGGTAGAGTACAGTAGAGGTACTACACAGTATTGATCCAAAGTAGAAGTGGATCATTAGTGTACTGCCCGGCCGCCGGAGGCGACGTACTTAGGGACCGAGGCAGCACGCCCCCAGAGTAAAGGGGGGTAGCGACCTTTTTGACCAGAACTCAGGAAAAACTTGAGAACGTAGATCGTCTCGTGCGGGTTATTCTTGAGGGCCGCAAGCACACTCTTCCCACTGTGGTCGTTCCACCGCCTAGTGGAAGCGTACGCCCATTGAGCCCTATCCCCTCCCGGGTCGCAATTCCACTGGCCCGTTAATCGGATTCATAACCGCCGCCCTCGCAGAGAGGTTGGTGGTGTTATAATTTTACCGCTACCGTGGACACCCCCTCCGTGACGGGTTAAAACCGAACCGGAAGGATCTATATTATTACAGTGGGTGTGGGACCTCATTGTAAAATTTTAGTGCTGACCGGTGTGGTGCCTACATCAAGGGCGGCGGTTCATTCTAAAATTAGTTGCACTCTGAAATGCACCGTGATTGAAGCACGAACGCAATCGTTATACGTTTGGAGAACATAGAAGGGACCCCCAACCGCTGTGGACGCTCTTAAGAATCGTCACCATATTCCGTGTCCTGCTCAGGTGGGAGCTGTAAAACCTTCCTGGGACTCAAAACGTCGAGAACTCGTCGAGTTCTCCGAAGACATTTTTGGAACGGATAGCGCTTAGCGAGGAACAAGCTATGGCCCCAAGATGATACATACGCCCTTGCAGGCGACTACACTACTTCTCGGTTGAAATGAAATTGGTTTCTTGCTTATTATAAAGGAGAAGTACTACCAAATGTCTATACTGTACACCCAGTTACTGTAGATAGTGTCACTTACATTATTGCAGTGATTGTTTTAATCTCCATCCTGCATAAATTAGTGTCACTGACACTAATTCAGTACTGACACTATTTAACCGTAAACGGAAATAGTGTTAGTTACAGTATTAATGTCACACAATATTAGTGTAACTTGGAATTGAACCTACGAGTCAACCTTAGGAGTACAAGTTGGTGTACGACGGCACCATTTTAGTCCTAATAAGTGTAGTACTAGCTCGCATCCATACTACTCATCATCGCTGGCTATCTGCACCTCCTTCCTATTAAAGTATTCGCGGTGCTTGCGGATAAGATTCTGTAGATCAGGGGTCAGCTGAGATTCTTCCCATTGGCCATTAGTGTTTAGCGCCATACCGGTTATGATCAAAGCTTTTCTAGCGTATGATATGCCATTAGCATCGCGCTGCTGGTTCACTTCTCTCACAGAACAAGCTGCGAGCCTCAGGAAGAAAGGCTTCCTAGGATTGGAAACTTTTCCAGAACTATCCTTCCACAGTCCATTCTTGATCATGTCCATTTTGTAGGCCTCCCACCTCCTCGTCCAGACCGACTTAATTTTTTGGATAATGAAGGAATCACAAGGTTGGATTAGGTGCGTAGCGTTAGGCGGAAAGTGCCTTATTTCGGTATTGATAGCTGCTGCAGAAGCCTCCATAGCGGCAGTACTATTGTGACCGCTACAGTTGTCCACATATAAAATCCGCTTCCTTCTATTAGGTAGTGCAGCAATAACCCTACGTTCTGTCAGCCACTGAGGCATGACCGTTGTATCCATCCAACCTTTAGGCCCGGTACGATAGGCTACACCAGGAATATCGTCAGGTGTCCCCCGGATAGGATAATTTCGATCTCGATTCTTGAATATCATAAATGGCGGTGCAATTGTGGAATCTCTTCCTCCGCTTAACCGGACTAACATGGTCATGCCTTCTCCTCCTGAAACAACATCGGCATATTTAACTTCAGAGTTCCCCGCAAATCTTAACGTGCGACCATTGTCAACGTTAATTATAAAATGAGTCTCATCGGCGTTGCCAATGTCACATTCATCAATATCGCCAGTTGTCAATAAACGCTTCATGTTCCCCAGATAATGTGCCACATCGATTTCAATTTGTTTTTGTTTATGAGGACTCAACATATGCTTTCCGGTATGCGCACGGCTGACAATACGGAATCGTTCCGCAAATGTCTGAATCCATCTTGGTCCAATCCTTGTGTGCAAAGCCATGTCTGTCCGCAGGTCAACCATATTCATACTGTACGCGTCGTTTTCACTGTGTTCAAGCATATGCATTGCAAGAGACTTGAGGGTACACAAGTTAAATTTAACACCGAGTTTTCGGAGACGGTCAAACTCGCTGCGGAGGTCATTATGTAGTGCTTCAACCCACATTGCCCGTTTTCTGCCTCTTCCCAAACGTGCCTTTACTCGGATTTTTTTGAGTCCGATCTTGGTTGCCCTTGTTATAGAAGACGTAACACCTTTAAATTGTATCTGGCCGTTTGCACTAGTGTAATGAAGCCGATCTTTCCAAAGACGCATCGCTCGAACGATGTTGGCATTCTTGCTGGACCGAAAGTACTGCTGAAAATGCTTCACTGTTTTCGAGGCGATACATTTTTCTCCTTCGCTTGTGGCGGTAGCCACCATCCAGGCCACGATCTTAGCACGATCAGCTATGTTGAGTACGTACTGCACGGATCTCTTGATATTATCTGGCTGGGAATGGTCATGTTGGATGGTCTGTTGATCATGGGTTGGCGTGGAGGCATCTGGGTCCGTCGGGCGTTGTGCGCCGCGCTGCTCACCTAGTTGAAGGCATTGAAGAAAAGGTGAACCGAGCACCATGGAGAGTTTTCGTAGTGAGTTGAAGGAGGTTTGTGGTGTGGGGTAGGGTTGTACCCCAATCCCGGAATCCATGTATTATTCATCTTTTGACAGATCACGGAATATGCCATCCAATTTTCGTCCCGTCGTCGTCGAAATATTGACTATACGTGTACACGTGAGTATGAGTGACACTAATTACAAAATGCCAAAGCACAAGCTTGCATGTAATAATGTAAGTGACATTATTTACATAGTTACACTATTTAAATGCTGACACTATCTACAGTAACTGGGTGTAGTGAATGGAATGGCATTTTGACGTTAATTTGTTTTTGACGCTAAATCTCCGATTCTGGTTTGGGCCTCATGTGAGGCAAACTGCATTTCAAAGAAACACTAGCAGTATGTATTAAAGGGATACAGAGCAGAACAATTACTTTTCTTGAATGTTGGTTCCAGCACGATTATTGACTTGGAAACCCAATGGATTGGAATATGTATTTTGTACCCACCATCGAGAGCAGTTGTGACCTGAAAATAACAGAGACCTTAAATTGTCCGTGAAGCACCATTCAGTCGTTTTCGTCGGACAGAAAGCCGTCAGTGTTTGCATTGTCTTTCAAATAGTGAGGGCCACGTTAAGAAATCTTGCTTTGAAGTGGAGGATGAAAGCGACACAATCATTACAAGCAGGTATCGTGCAACCACTTTTGACGACGGCAATTTCGGCATCCAGTCAAATGGACGGGTTTTGATGCACGAGAATTGACTATGGATCATCACAACGGGCGATGAATGCAAATGCTTACATTGACCCGCAAATCCGAAGAAAGATCGGCCAAAAAGACGTAATGACGTTCATGACTATCATCACAAATTCTGGCGCGGCTGACAGTGTGCTGCGAAATCCGAAAGAGGTGCGAAAAAGGAGGGTTCGGGCCAAGGAATGTTTCGTGAAAATTTACAATTTTTGATTGTCGAGTGAATGTCGAACTAGACTCGAATATTCACTTACAATTACATTATGGATGTCCAAGTCCAGTTCGACTAGACCAGAACTACACATAATGAATGTACAAGTCCGGCTGTACTACCGAGGAAACAGACATCTTAAATATCCGAGTCCAGTTGGACTAGACGCGAACTGGAATTATTAGAGGGTTTACGCAACTGGTTTTTCCACATGAGATCCAAATTTCGTTACAGGTCAAGAACCTTTGAAACGTGTCTCATCTTGCACTTGGAGCCGGACTTACCGAAAAATGGAATGGCTGGCTCCGTCCCTCAAAAATCCAAAGTTCTGTGTACACTGCCGGCATCAGTGTTCCAAACCGCTCGAACTTCAACCTCACATCCGTCATCTTATTCACATCAACATTGCTGCAATTCTTTTATCATCGCCGGAAAAAGCTCCAGAGACCATCACAGCTCCCACCGGAACGCCAGCGACTGCCAACACAGCTCCGAGACGCTCCAATTCAATATTGAACGTTTCGGTGCCCGCCCCTCTGGCTGAATCTCCATGCGAACCATCTTCTGCCCCACCACTGTCAAACTCAGCTCCACTTTTACGTCGAAAAAAGGAATCCGTTCCAGCCCCATGTGGGATACCTTGCTTTTGAAAGCTGTGATATATACAGATGCACATCTGTCTCCAGACGGCGAAGCACAAGGACGATTCGAGGAGACGCTAACTCTTTTTCAGTTTGCTTTTCCATCGGGAGCCTCCGAAGGCATATGCTTGCCAACTTGGAAAACGCTGAGGGACCGCTTCAAGAAGATTGTTGCAGACCATAAAACTGAGTCCCAATGTAACGCAACTCCGTCTGATATTATCGAAATAGGAGAAGAACAGAGATACTACTGGACGATATAGTTCTTTCAATGAACGAATGGTCTGAAAAGCATCGCTGTGAGCGAGAAAAGCCCACTGAACAAGACAGGCGCCTGGTTGTCGCTGGAGAGGAAATAAGAAATATGGCCGTAGGAAGGCAAGCTTCCCCCGAGGCAGAAGCATAAAACGGCAGCAGAACAAAGGAGCAAGTATCCATTCCAGGGTCGTCCACTCGTCGTCGGGAACGAAAAAGACTTCTGTCTTTTGATTCCGAAGAAGAAGAAAAATAATTCTTAAGTAAGCATATGACGGCGCGTCGCAAGATGGAAAAAAGAAGAGTTCAGCTCTAAAAAGAATACTCTTGAACGGAAAAAAGAATCTAGACTGGAAGAACGTGTACGCCGAGACCAAGAAAACGAGCCAAAAAGACTTTGCCTTGGTGAAAAGCGCATTGCGCTTGAAGTAGAAAAGGCAGCATTAGAAAATGAAGAAAGGCACCTGGCAATTTCAAAACGCAAGGAGATGATCGCGGAGTTGGGAGCCTTAGTTAAGAGGTTGCGGTTAAGCCAAAACATGCGCCTTTCAGTTGACACACTCCGAAAGAGATGGAGGTTGGCAATTGAAGTAGGAACTTAGTTGTCCACCACCTGACATACAAACCCAATCTTTCCACAGAATGGCCGCGGATTGGTACGGAAGGGCAATTGGGGACTGACGAACGTTGAGTTTGTGTTTAAAATTCAGCGTTTACCAGAGTTGTTTTATGTCCTTGTGCCTCCACACAACCGCCTCTCTCACACTGCTCATCCTCGTATTGTCCCATAGCTGCTCTGCACTCGCTCCTGATCTGGGGAATGCCGTTTGGAGCCATGGAAGTAGAATATTTGTTACATCACCATATAAACAGCATTGTACTCTCCCGATGTTGAACGTTGATTGTAAGGTTCCATCCAACCCGCTTTCTCTATAAAGCGTCATGTCATGACGCCAGACCACTTCTAAGTTATATATTGAACAGTGCACCATCTGGTGGTGTAACTGTATGATAGATTAGGCAGTGGAACCTCTTCAGACCGGAATATACATTGCGCTGGAGGACCTGCAGATCCGTCTGGACGGGTCATCTGTAGTTTAGTGCAATTTATAAAGCCGACACAATGCGTTAAGGGTGCGCCTTTGGCATGGATGGCTGCAGCATAAGCTGGAGCCCGTGTTTTCATGAGTTCGGTTTGGAAAGATAATTGCAGGGGAGTGTTGGAATCAGAAAAACTGATGCAACTCCCAAAATTCTTCGGAAGGAGCATATGCTCTCATCCCGAACATGACTTCAATATAACTCCATCGTGTTGGTGATGCCAGTCTTTGCAACATAGTGCATGTTGCTGTAAAGGGATGCACCTTGTATCGAGAACTTTAGTTCTACCTGCCGTCCAGCCAGTGAGGGAGCAAATTTTGTAGATCTCGTATTCGCGGAAACGAAACCTAGTCAAGCACTCCTCATAACTGTAGGCGTTTATAATGAAAGGGGCAGTACTGATGGTTTGTGAACGGCATAGTAGGCGTAGTAGATCCTCTGATACTTGACGGTGCCGGTGAGAGAGGCGAAAGAGCACCTCATCATCGGCATCATCAATTACAGCATGACTGAACAAACGCCTACGGCAGTTGCGGCTCCGAATGTCCTTACCCACCGCAAATACTTCTGCCTCATCAGGGCTCTCCCTTGCTCGTACTCACGATCGACGCATGTACAGTCAGCGTAAGCAGAAAACTTTACATTTGTGAGATCGTGGTGTTTAGAAACGTGTAACCCGATATCATCTCACGAACAAATGAATTTTTGGTTTCGCAAGATCTGTAATGGAAAGATATTACTCGTTTTTGCAGTACGTATAGTTCCCTTAGATCCAGGGACAGCATCTTTCTTTCTCTATTTCTTCCTCATCGCCGCTCATTCCCACTTCGCCTTCTCTTATTGCATCCCGCCGAACCCTCGCATTTCCGCAACCCACGCAACGCAATTTATCCTACAACTCGGTCGCCGCTCCCACCTAAACATATCCAGCCATCTCCCATCAAAACCCGTTGGGCCCCGCCCTCCATCCCACAATCTTACGTCCGGCGTAAATTCTCCTACACACAGCGTTCTTCAAACATCGGCCACATCGCGCACGTCACATTGAAGAAACACAATTTGTTAATTGCAATCCTTCCCATCTGGCCTCAGAAATTGCGATATTTCTCAAAATACCTTCGTTTCATATCCTCATCGTTCTGGACACCAACAAAACGAAAATTCAACTGCCAAAAAATTCTTTCTTTACGCCTTTTTGAAGACATAAAATCAAAGATTAAGCAGTAGCAAGCTCCTCCAAGCAAAATCACATATATATTGATTTAATATACACTTTTTGCCCTCCTATTGGGTTTCCCCAGCATATGTTGCAGACTTCTGCTCGCATCTCCCTTAAGAGGAGTACGGCATGTTGTAGTACCTCACCGGATCATACCATCTCTCCCCTCCGCCTTTCCTTTCCAAAAAGACCTCCATGACGGCCACAAATGGGGCTTTCTCTCCTGGGGTGCAAGTGGCCGCTCTGTATTTACACTACATCTGCCTCTTACGCCCTTTTCAACTCGAACAGCGGTGCAATTATGTAATGAGTTCCAAGCTCATTAAGGTATTTGCACCGCTGCTCTTGTTTGAAACGCGAGTCCTTTCCGTTGCACATAGTACGAACGCTCCATCTATTCTTCGAGACAATGAACAGTCCGACAATGCCGAAGAGCCGTTCCGTGCCACCCCCTTCGGACCTCAAGCACCACCTGGTGCCGGTAGCACTCTGCAGAGCCCGACAGATGCACGGGCAAGCTTTCTGGTATGGGCCGTCGCCGTCTCCTTCACACAGCTCAAGCGCACAATCGTTGCCTCCGCCATCAATGACTCGATCTCCCTCCTCAAAGATTCTGTTTTCACTTCCTTGAAATTTGACAGCTCTATATGCACAGCGAACGAATGTCTTTCCTTTGCAACCTCACTCGTTGATGAGCATTTTGCGCAGAATGGGGCCTCCACCGTGCACATCACCGAGGATGCAGGTCCGTTTTCAGGCATTGTCTCCCTTCGACACCCCCCGTAACTCCATCAGAAGCAGCTGTCCATAGCTAACACCAAAAGTATTCGTACTCTCCCTTAACGAAGATTAATGCCGACTAGAACGAGGTATTCGCTCACCCTGTGGAAACTCGCCGTGGTCGTGCCATTTCCCACTTCGTCCAAGAATCTGTAATGGGATCCCTTCGCGATGACGTTGTGTGGAATGACACTTCTACCACGGAGCCCACTATTTTTCTGGTGTCATCCAGCTTTATACATACAAGGGCTCTACCACTCTGACGACCTCAGCCGTTGCCTATTGTAGTGAAATAGGTACGTCCGGGTTCTGTGTGAAGGCGAGCGAGGACACGTCGCTCCTGGTGAAGACAGGACTACTGTAGAGGTGTAATGTTTGCTAATGTAGAGCGTAGAAACCGGTACAGTGGGCCGGGGACTGCCCCAGCGAGCACACGTGGCCTACGTGCCCACGGGTGAAGGTGGTACACACGCAGACACGTGTACCGCTGAGCGGGCGGTGCCCCCGGCGGCGTACAGTATTTAGACTCTTATGATATGATCCGGATCAGCATTGTATCATGGGAGGGCTACCCGGTCGCCGGAGGTACGGATTACGGTACTTTGGGATCTGGGCAACCCTGCCCCAACAGTAAAGAGGCAGCTACCCCCTCGCTCCGGAACCAACTCACAGCTTCTAAAGGCGAGCGCGCTATCCCGTTGCAGGGTAGCATTCTACCGACCGTATCGGACGACATATTACGCCAGCCCACCTCGTGTGGTCATTGGCGTTGTAGCCGAACTCTACCGGGCGAGTTTCCATTTACATCGGGACTTACACCCCCGTCGGGACTCATATCACTACACCTATCCCGTCCACATCAAGCGTCTTATCTTCTCTGTTTGCTTACGATACAGCGGCATCAATGCTTGGAGCCGCATAGTCTGGTTCCTCCCTATCGATGTCAGCCCTTGAACGAAGGACTCCTCCCTGGGTGAAATGTCTCTCAGTTCCAACTCAAGTAGCCGTGCGTATGGAATGACTGTTTGGCATAAAGTTATGAAACATATGCTTGCTCCCCTGCGATGCCACCCAAACCGGATTCCTTTGCAAAGCCATCAATAGCACCATTCACACTTGCATTCACATCCGTTAAAACTTCTTCTCACATCTCAAGGACGGCAAGGACATAAGTGTAATATTTCCCAGCACCATCACCAAACTTCATTGTCTTCAGTGATACGTGCCCTGCGAGGAACTTGCCTCGACGGGAAGGTACACTGTCTCCATGGTAGAGGAAATGACTCAGGCACGAGAGCTGTCAGCCAGTCTCAGAGGAGTGGCAGAAAACATGCGTTACGGAACAGATCAAGATGGTCTCGCGAAGCCCGAGTCGAATCCAACAATGTTATCGGACTTTTTCCCTCTACAAGGTGCTTCCACTCATAGAATCCCAGTTTGCCTTTTCCGAACGGCGCAGCAATCAATATGTACTACATCTTCTCAACTGAGTCAATAAACTACGTATTCCTCTGTATTTCCAGAGTCATGAAGATAAGCGTAGCACACCACCTAAACTATGTGCAAAGCATGACGATTAGGGGTATCCTATTTGGAAGATCAAGAACTTTCAAGCGATTGTTAGAAGCGCTAATGAAATTCTTGCCGGTATCGAGGGCCACTACTACGCGCCTGGTCTCCATGCGCACTTTCCGGAAGGAGAGAAAGGGCAATACCCGAACCGAATCCACACAGATGAGGGACTTAGAGGTATGCTGGAAGCACAACACTACCGTTCCCAGCACTTGATGTTCCCCTGTTTTGGAGCTTTTCATAAACTGGTGCTGTGGTCAAGCAATCCGCTCCTGTTACGTCAATGTTTACGCAATACTGAGTCATAATGAACTGAGCAGTCACGTACAGCCTCTT